TGTCTATGGTTACCAAGGGAAAAACATTCAAATCTTTGCGGATGACACTAGTTTGGCTGTCAATGCTCCTTACATCAGATCCTGGTTGGATCTTTTGTCACAAACACCTCGAGTGGCACCATTTCTATCAAAGAATGACCCATTTATCGTGGCACTGAAAAAGGTATACAGTTTACAAATTTTCTTCAACAATTAATATTTTCGTGGTTTTCTTTATTATATGGTCAATGGTGCTGTTTGCTCAAATTTGTGTCTGGCCTTGCTAACTGCAGACTACAGTGTCGGAACATTTACATTCTTTTATTTTTTCCAAAAGTGCTAATTTGAGTTGAAATATTTAAATTGCTAGGTGACAGAATGTGAATGAACACTTCATGCCCCCACCCCTTTTTTTTTTTCAAAAGTGCCAGTTTGAGTTGAAATATGTAAATTTAACTTTTATTACATGTTGTTGTGGAAATATTGTTTCTTTTCATGTGCCAGGTGACGGAATGTGAATAAGCACTTCATGCTTCACCCCCCCCCCAAAAAATATGCAAAATGAAATAAACTTTAATTTTTTTATATATGTTTAAGGATTCGTTCTTCAGATGTTACACAGATGCCAATAGAATTTCATAGGAATGGTTGATCAATTTCTATGTAAGCTGTTCTTGTGCCGCCTGCAACCCCCCCCCTTGATGCTGACTTCTGGAATCTGATTGATTTATCCAAAACATGGCATATGCTGTATGAAAACCTGTCTGTCTGGCACCTGGTGCTTAAGAGCTGATTGATGATACTATGTTGGAAATTGGAAAGGACTTGTTATTTTTATTTTTTTCCCCACAAAGAAATTTGATTTGGTTTTGGGGTTTTATTAGGCTGGGGCTGCTTAACACTCTAAAGGTAACATAATATACTTTTTTTAGTTTTTTACTTAATGTGTTTCTATCCTTCTGCAGGAACTAGAAGATCATACTCATGAAGTAAATGTGCAACATGAGGTGCTCGATGGGATGTTCACAATATATGACTCAACTAAAGCTAAACTAAACATATACCAGGTTCTTATTTTTAATTCTCTAGATGACAATTACATTTTTATTTCTCTTGACTTTTGAGATGTATTTTATTTTCATGCTATTCTCTTTTATGAATTAAACTGTTAATTACTCTACTGGATTGAATGATAATCAACTGAAATGTGCTGTTACAGGTTGCTAGTGTAACATTCGACTTGCTGTTGCTTCTGGTGCTAGGATCATATTTGATTATACTTTTCACTTTTCTTGTCATCACAACAAGGGTAACCCCACTTATCTTTATAAGAAGCTTTCAAAACTTCTTGTTTGTACATTTTTTTTTAGCTATACCTTCAAAATCCTACATTAAAAAAACTGAACTAAAATTTCTGAATTGCCAATTATGCTGTTTAACAGGGTCTTGATGATCTCATAAGTTTATTCCGACGGCCTCCCTCTCGTAAGGTGAAAGCGGCATGACAAAAGAAGCTGGATATGTGCACCGAAGCTGTTTATCCTTGTTGCTGAAGAGCATCGCATGTAGCATAGAATGTAACCTTTTCCATTGAGGAGTATGTGTTGTTTACTAGTTGTGCGTTGTCCGATTAGGTCAGAATCACGAGGGATCAGTTTACTTTTGGTCCTAGGCGGATTTTTTTTTAAAAAAAAAATTATGGTGCTGGAATGAGTCGAGATTTGTTAACATAGGTTGAAGAAAAGTTTTGGTGAAGGATATTTTAAACCAGAGACTATAGCCAGCATTTTTTTTTGTAGAGGATAATCTGTATTTGTGGCATCAGCACCATGATTTCGTTATTTAAATTTCCTATAAAGTTTTGGAGCAGTTTCCTACGGTAATTATTAATTAAATTGGATAAACCTAGCAGTAATTCAGTCTTAAAGCAATCATTTAGAACAAACAAGCTCACTCCTTAAAAGTTTGTTCAGAAACAAGCCAGTAATTCTAATTTGCACGCCTGAAGGGACTTTTACGCTGTACCTGAGGTGTAAAAACTCAGGGCTTGTAGCCCGTGCGTTGCTAGCCAGGCTAAGCAAGAAGTGGATAAACCCGGCAAATCTCCCAGGCATGTGGGACTAGACATTAATGAGATAAGAGACCTGTAAGAAAACTGGGCTGTGCAGACCCAGCAGATATGGAGTAGAAGCGAGAAATTCCAAATCTTTCTTCTTCTTTATATGACAAATGGAAAGCAGAAAACAAGGCTGGATATATTTTTAAATTTAGAAAAACAAAATTATTTTTTTCCACAAAATTAATCACAAATGTGGGTTAAAGTTTTTGGGCCTTCTTTAATAAATTGACTGGACTTGATAGTATCAAGAAATGGATGCTAAATATGTGGCGGGTGTTACAAAATTTGTATTCTTGCCAACAAGAACTTTAGCTAACATTTTGTGAGAAGAGAGGAAACTACCTTTGACAAAAACTTTAGCAGAAAATCTTCTGAAGAAGAACAAGAGTTTTGAGAGAGAATTTTGAGGGAGCTTTGAGCCATCGCTATGAATGCCACCGTCTCATTTCATTGAGGGAGAGGGAAGGAGCAAATTAGTATCATAATTATTAAATCCAACTTGAAAAATTCATCTTGCCAATGAGTCAAGTTATATGTTGTCACTAGGTTGATTCAGATTAATCCAGAAAATAAAATAAAAATAACACACATACACACTACAAATTAATATAATGTCTAGGTCTGAAAAGGATAAATATTGCAAATTGTTTTCACCAATCGCTTTCCCAAAAAGTTTAACAAAATAAAAGATAAAAGAACATTCCAACCAAAAAAAAAAAATTAATTGACTAACACTTCAACACAATTTAACAAAGGCAACTAAGCAAACTACAAGTCCAAGAAACAAATAATTAACTAATTATAATTTTAAATCCTATTATTTTGATAAATATTTCATCATAAATAATATAATCATTACAAAAAGTTCAAGATTTCATAATATTATAGTTTAAGTTTGATGTAAAAAAACATTGAAAATCAATGTAACACATATAGAACACATATAGATGCATCCTTGTCAACAACTTCACCCTAGTACAATGAACATATTAAGCTTTTTCATATCCGAGCAAAATTTGAATAAAATATCGATGGGATGAGATGATTGCGTTGATGAAGTATCAGTATTTGAAGTACTACAAGAAGACATTTTACATTGCTGCAATAAGATCAATGAAAAGACATTAATATATACTATACTATACTAGACATGAAGTAAACGTAAAAATATATATACACCATTTTCTCTTTTTACAATCTCTACTGCGAGCAGGATAGACAGTATTCTATTGAAATAGATCGAAAGAATCCAGAGACCTTATCTTTGCTACAGAGACTGCACTGCATCTTCACCTACCATGTCTGTTGAAGATCAAGCCAGCCTGCCAATTTTTGAAATGAAACAGAAGGAATAGAAACTCTGGTGAGACAGATGATTGCAATGTGATAGTTAAAATCAGTAGCAAGGCACCTAAAGGGTTGAATGTCATAATTAAAATAAAGCATATGCATCTTTCGAATAATTTTTTTGTAAATAGCATATGCATAGAAAACCCAAAAAGCCTGTATGTGTGATTAAAAAATCCCTCAGCTTATGGAAATGATCCTTAACTGTAAATAGAATTGTAAAAAGAAACAAGTTTGGAACTATATGCAGTTATGAAGAACCAGAAACCAGCATGACACCATGCAATCAGCTAGTGGAATAGGAACAGATGACATTTAGAATGGGAAGAATATGCATATCCCGTCACATTATAAAGTTGTTAAAATAATCTAAAACAATTTTCTCCTTTAATCAATAAGCATGTTAAAGTGGTAGAAATTTAAGGAACACACCTCACTGAATCCAATTCCAGATTTCTCATCTAGTATTGATCACTTAAGCGCTGATTACAGAACATCTGGCATCTAAAGGGAAGTGAAACAGTTGAGCCAAGTTTCTCCAAGCATCTGAAAATCCTCCCTTCTGTATATCACGAAGACACACGCATAATACTTCTACTCTTCAGTGCTTAGATAAAATCTTAAAAACATGTAGCAAAGAAAATATACCTTTCTAAGATCAGAAGTGGTGGATTTGGAATCCATCGATTCCTTGGTCATCCATCGAGGAACGTTTAAGTAATGGTCAGTTTGCAGATTTTCATCCCTGCCAAAGAGAAGGAAAACAGTCGACACATCACTTCATCTTACCAGTTAAGCCATCTTGCAAAACAAAGATCCTAAAAGAGCCCAACTCCTAAGACGGCTCAACAATCCACTTCCCAATCCAAACTACATATTCAAGACAAGCTCACTGGATGTGGTTCATGAAGATCCAGATACTTGGAATTGACAAAGATTTATTAAACTGGGGTGTAAAATGAAGTTGGAAAGGATTTTAAGACATTGTCAATTTCTGGTTATATGCTTGCCTCAAACCAAAGACCGTCTGCCATCAGTTGCTCTACCTGCACCTTCTGTACTATTCTGTGGTTGAAAGGAATGACCGAGACTAATTTTAGCAATGAAATTCACAGAGAAGAATGATCCATATCTCCAAACCCATGACACCTGCCAAATACCTGAAGATGATTAAACCCTTATGGAATGTGGGGCTGAGATGTTTCCTTAAAGTTCCAAAGAGAAGCACAAGTTGAAGGAAGGTGTGCTGACAGTTTTCTTGATAGATTGACGATTGCTATTCCTTCCAGGACCTAGAATCAGGAGAAACATGGGCACCTCTGAGAAAAATTCTATTATGCTTTTGCGATTGCTACTGAAATGAACCATTCTTGTTTGGTTGACTGAACACGAAAGTATTTTTCTCTTGAAAATATAATTACATACAATATCATGGAGTGTGGATTTTCATAGAAATATGCAAAAAACCAAATGCTTATTCAGAGGCCTAATAGCATCCTGGTCAGTTGAGCAGAGAAGAGTCTTTGATTTGTAACTCACTTGAAACTGAGCTGGTCAAATGAAGCAATGCGCATCCGTGCATGAACCTCTATTCTTCTGCTTCTTATGCAAAAAAAAAACCAGCTTAGTGAGCAATCAAATCAGAAGTTGTTTCAAATAAGAGCAGCAAATCCTTCATCACACTGAATCTCTGAGTTGCTAGAGTTACTTGGCAGCATTGTTTCTTTGTCCACATAATCCCACAATAAGAACTGGTTCAGCAAAACTCAAAAGAATTGCACGTATCTCCTCCTGCAAAACCCCATGCTGGATTAATAAGCAGAGCTTGCGCTGATAAGCAGAAATATTAACTCATTGTTGAACGAGCTCAAGAAGAATTTGTCCCCTTAACCTTTTCCAACTCGCATTTCTGAAAACATAGGCCTGATTTTTGGGCTTCTTTGGCATCTAGTTCTGGTCTCCTTCTTTCAGCTACCCTAACAAAAAGCTGCTCTTGCTTTATCCAGTCCGAGTCCCCTACATCAGGCTCTTCCCCTTGTCCTTGCCAGCCTCGAAATGCTTTCGTCTGGTTGGGCTAGTAATCCATCTGAATAAGAAAAAACCTCTTGGATTCGGAATTGCAGCTAGAAAAATGAAGTAGAAGTCTAAAAGTGCAGGAAAGTAGGACATGTGAGAGGCTGATTCATTGTATAATCTGCATATGAGTTTATGCTTAGCAAAGCAAGCCTCACTAATGAATTGAATCAAAAGTTGAATAGAAGTTGTCAAAATACCGAAGACAATTAGTTCAAACCCAACATGTTTATAAATCACTAAAGTGTTCAAACCAAAAATTTCCCTAACTTTCCTCCAGTCTTGATAATCACTACCTTTTTGCCTAACAAAAAGAAACGTAAGTATACACTTCAAAACTGCTAATTGATTAATGTTCTGGTTACATGTTTACCTCATAAAGGATCACCATAAAAGACCATCTTCCACCATTTGGTCCACCAGAAGCTTCCAAACTATTCTGTGCAATCTTATTGGAAGAGAAGGATGATCACTAATATTAGCAATGCAATTAATGCAGCAAAGTTGAATAATTGGCAGCACTAATCCACATCTTCAAATGCTTGAGACTTACCAAAAAACCCCAGATGATTAAACCCTTATACAGGCTGAGACGTTTCCTTAAAATGTCAGAGGGATGCACAATTGAAGGTTTCTTGATCGGTTGCTCGTGAAATGAACCGCGCTTGTTTGGTTGACTGAACAAGAAACTGTGTTTCTCCTTAAAATATACTAGTAATCATTACGTACAATATCACCATAACTATAGAGAATGGATTTTAATGGAAAAATGCAAACAACCAAATACCTGTCAAAAATCAAAGCGAGGGGCTGGCTGCGCAGCACCGAGCCCTTGTTTCTTTTGCACTAGATCTTCATCTGCCGTTTCTGCCAAAGATTAAGCCAGCAAAAAATCCAGCTGAGTTGAAGCTTGAAATTATTCAATTAAATTATAAAGATGGGTATCAATTATCAGCTTTGCATAGAAAAAGGGAGCTTACACAAAAACGTACAAAATCAGATGAACAGAAAAAAAGAAACAAAAAGTTAGAAAAAAATTTGATTGGACAGTCCATATAAACCCAAGAAGTTTGGAGAGAAGAACCAACCTGAGGAAATTGGTAGTAAGATTGTGCTCCCTTGCTATTTATTTAATTGGGTGAGTTGCGCTTATTCCTAGAAAATTTGTTGTGCAAGCAATTAATCAATGCAGTGGAAAATAAAGAAATTAAACGAATTAAATTTAGTATAAATAAATATAATTAAAGACAGCCAGATTTATAGAAATTCAAACTTACCTCACTATGGTAAATCGATAGGTGGGCTATGAGAAATCTTGGGCCACTCAGACCCACTGCCCTCTGTGCAATTTCGCTTCAAAAGCGAACAGCTCCTAATTATCAGACGTGTTAGTTTGGAGAGGCGTTGCATGGCTGTTGAACTTGGCAGATACTTGGGATTCTGACATTCCCAAATTGTAAGCTCTTGAAGAGAAGAAAGGTTGGCCAACCAATCTGGCAATGCTTCCTCAAATCCCTCTCCGTTGAAACCATAGGTCTTTAATTTCGTAAGGGAGGTGAGGTGTTGAAGTTGATGTGGTAGACTCTTCAGTTTCTTCCACCCAATTATCTTAAGCTCTTCAAGGGAGCCACTTAGGTGTTGGATTGAATCCATTCCAGGAAATACCTCCAATTCCTGCGAGAAACCACCAATTTTCAATCCCTTCAATTGGTTGAGGCCGCGAAAGAAATCTTCCAGAATATGACTTAAATTTCGACACCAGCTGATATCTAATCGAACAAGAGAATGCAGTCTTCTTTTTAAACCATCAGGAACTGACTTGAATTGATCACAGCATCTAATGACTAGTCATTGAAAACGAGAAGGCCACACTTCTCCTCCACGTGAATCATCAAAGAAGATAATCTCCCCGCAGATCTCGATGTTCAATTCCTTCATATTTGCGTAGGATGGTGGCCAACTAATTCGAACACTTGCTTTTCCACACCAACCAATGAATACACTTGTAAGAGAACGCGATTCTAGAATAATAGGCGATACCAGATTGTAGCACGTAGAAATAGACAATGCCTCCAGAGCTATGCAGCTTTGAAGGCTTGGAATGGATGACAGATTGGAACAACGCCTTATGGTTAAATATTTAAGAGATGTCGCAGAGGCTTGGAAGTCGCCAGATATATGACTCAATGCATCACAGTCTCTGATTGTCAATCTCACAAGTTTTGATGAAAGATGGCTCACGGATGGAATGCTTTCTAACTTGGGACACCTATTAATGTTAAACTCTTCCAGGCAAGGAAATGCTACTTCCATTTCACCACTGCTATAAAACTCCTCACCTATTATCTCCACAACATCCATTCCTTCTATCTCAAGAATTTTAAGATGAGAAGGATGTCCTGCTGGAGGAAGTTTTTTGCAGCCTTTCAATTTCAGCACCACCAAATTATTGAGTATTGGCATCAAAAACCATGGTGGGAATTCATCACCCTGATAATTCTCAATCTCTATGCTACGTATGTCTGGGTGAGGCTGGAGGCCTTCCAACACATCCTTGTAATTGATGCTGGAGCTGCTGCTTTCTCTTTCTGAACTCCATACCAATACCAATGTGTTAATATTTTCTTTTCCAGACAGGTTTGCTCCCTTGGCTTCTTCTTTGTCTCTGACATGCTCCAGATTGACTATTCTCAACCTCCCTCTAAGTTCCTTCAAGCATCCCAGTTCTTCAATTTTGTGGCCCTTATCCTGACCCACTTCAAAGAATGGCAGTGATCGAAGACCAGTTAAGCATCCAACATCAGCTGGCATATGACTAAAATCCATATGTCTCAAGCTCACCAAATATTCCATTTTGTTGGGAAGCTTTATGAGTAACCCGCAGTCGCTGAATCTTAAGGTTTGCAAATGATAGAGCTTCGTGATGGATCTTGGAAGCGCTTTGATTTCTGTTCGTGAAATGTCGAGATACCTCAAATGTTTCAGCCTGCAAATTGAATCTGGCAATTCAGTCATACGAGCATCATTCAAGGTCAGACTTCGCAAACCTCTAAAATCCCAAGACTTGTTGAGGAATGTTGAGAATAATGTACGCAATTTTCTACCACCATACATTAGAAATGCTGGTTCATTTCTCTCATCAGAAGAAATGAGATTTAGATGTCTGAAAAATGTACCGTCTATAGCTGAGCCAGGCTTCTGAATCACTGTCTCCGATTTTGTCACCATCAAAGCTAGATCGTGCGCAAGATTGGGCATCTTGCAACAGATTACATTCCCAAGCTCATCCGTTTGGAAATCTTGGAAAAACGAACGTGCAAGCAGGACATTAAAGTTTCTATCTCCTTCATCTTCCATCTCCCAATGAACAGATGACCCAAGCAACCCTTCAGCCATCCAAAGCTGAATCAGTTTTTCCTTTTCAATCTCAAAATCTTTAGGAAAAATAGAACAATAAGAAAAACAGCGTTGCAGAGAAGCAGAAGGCAAATGATCGAAACTTAATTTCAATATTTGTAAAACTTTGATCATAGTTTCTTGACATCTCAACAGCATCACTGTCTCTTATTGAACTCCATTTATCCTTGTCCTTTTCACAAAACAACATACTACCTAAAACTCTAGCAACTACAGGCACCCCTCCACACTTTTTTGCAATATCTATTCCGATAGCCTCCAATTCTGAAGGAATAGACTCTCCATTTCTGGACACTATTTCACTAATAATTGACCAATATTCATTATTTGATAGTTGTTTCAGCTCATGACTACATGCAGTCGACTGACTCTCCATTATTGATGCTGTTAGTCTACTACGAGTAGTAACAACAACAACATTCCTATTATTTCCACTAATTTTTAATAGACAATCCCTTAAAATCTCCCACTTCCCATGTTCTTCGTTCCACACATCATCAAGTATAAGAAGAAATGTTTTAGTCTCTAACTCTTCTCGAAGATGTGTCATTATTGCATCCATTCCAGTTATTCTATGAGTGTTTTTATCAAGAGTTAGCAGCATTTCTCGTAAAATGCTTTCATCGTCAAAACTATCAGAAACACAAATCCAAAATGTTACATCAAAAAGTTTTCTGTCTTTAACTTCTCGGTGCACCATGCACCATTTTTGCTACAGTAGTCTTTCCGAGCCCGGCCATTCCCACTATATAGGACTGACAGAAAGAACTCGTTGGCTGCAAGAACGAATCGACAAGTTAATAATTTTAGAGACATCATCACCTCTTCCTTCGACAACTTCTGAGAGGACAAAGAAAAGAGTCTGTCATTGAGTGGCGTCTAGGTTGAGGAGTTGTATCTGCAGATAGAACTCTAAGCCCATACGAAGTTGCTGTTTCTTGAAGCACATCAAAGCACTCATCGATCTTTTGAAGTTCTTGGGTCAACCTCAGACCAAATGCTATTGGGTTGGAGAGAGAGAAGAAGCTACATGCCTTCCCTTTCATACTGTCTCGAGTCTCTAGCTGCCGTTGAATAATATCATAACCAAGCTCATCCGGCACAACTTCAGCTTGGTAAGCTGTGTCTCGAACCTTATCCTACCAAAACCTCCCCACATCATTCGTAATTTGTCTTTCTTCAGCAACTTGTAGCACTGCTTGAATCATGATCAATTTCGACATCAGCTTTTCCAGCTCTCCCTTAAATCCCCATGCAATACTGATCCCCTGAGCTGCACGAGCTGCAGCAAGTGAACCAACCCTCTTCAAAATCTCCTCAGCCGTATTTTCTCTTAGGTAACTATTAATGATAAGGAAGAAATGCTTTGAAAGTTTTGGAAACAATAGAGGTGAAATTACACGATACTGAAAGGCATCAACCTTTTAAAAGGCTAATTTCATCTGTCGGTGGAAAAAATAGCATGACTTGTGGCTCTGGTAATGATGAAATTTTTAATAGAATACACTAGTCATTACTAAGGAAGGAGCCACACCAGAATTTTCAAATCCGTTCCAGCAGTTGACGTGATTTAAGATCTATATTAATTTTAATTTTTTTAAATCAAAATAAAATTATTTTAATTAAAAAAATTAACATATTACAATGTTTTTTTTTTATCAGATCACCCTAAATTTTAACATTTTTTATTTTTTAAACTTGATTTACTTTCAGTTTCTGGTCAGCCATGTTCCAGGTCAACTCACCAGGACACATTTCAAAATTATAAACTAGATAATATTCTTGTTTTTTCTTTTAATGATATAATTATTTTATTATCCTTAAAAAATACAAAAATCATTTGGATTTAAAGACTTTTTAATCTTTATCCTGATTTTAAAATAAGTAAATTATTTAATTATTTTTAAAAAATAAAAATAATTGTTTTTTAACTTAACGGCTCTTGGAACATTTATATATGTTTATTTAGTAGTTATTGAATGTACTTGAAATATTAGGGTAATTTAATAAATAAGAAAATTTAAAAAAAAATTGGTGAACAATGTCGATTGTCTTTGAACAATGCATGTCATATCTTCTAGTGGCCAAAACCATAATTCCATAGTAGCTTTCGGAGCATCTTGACATCCTCTTTATAAATAAGCAACGCATGGAGCAATATGGTAACCGATATGACATGTGTGATCTTTTTTTTTCCTCTCTTTTTCCTTTCTTGATTTTCATGTTGAAATTAAAAAAAAAATTAGATTCTAAAATTTATTACAATAAAAATTTCATCCCTATTATCTTTATTATAATTTTTAAAATTTAGAATATTAAGGGATTTTTTTAATTTAATCATTATTCTCTTTATTGTAATTTTTTTATTTAGAATATTTTATTAAATTAAGAATTATTTTTGATTTCATCCCCAATCAATATTTTTATCTATCAATTTCTTAATCTTTTAATTATATATATTTTTAATTTATATGGTTTTTTCTATTATTTTTTATTTTTTTTGCAATTTCAACCTTCTTTAATTTTTTTTCCTGTCAAATCTATTTCTTTTTTTTATTGTATTTTTTTGACCTTGTAAGATTGTTTTAGATTGATTGTTTTTATTATTATTTTATTATTCAACATTTAAATAGTTGGGTATTTAACTTTTTAGCTAAGTTTAGATCTAAATTTATAATTTACAAGTTTAAAAGATTAACCATAATTTACAAAGTTGACATGAGTTTCTTTTTCTTTGTTTCCCATCCTCCAACATTTTGTTATTTTTTAATTTATTTTTTATAATATTTTTTAGTTGTTTTGAAAAGACACGAGTTGCTTTGGGTTTTGTTTATTTGTTTTTATCCTTTTTAAATTTAAATTTTTTTAAAGGAATTTTATTTTTAGATTTAATTTATTTTTTATAATATTTTTTAGTTGTTTTGAAAAGACACGAGTTGCCTTGGTTTTTTTTTATTTGTTTTTATCCTTGTTAAATTTAACTTTTCTAAAGGAATTTTATTTTTAGATTGAATTGATTGATTTTATTTTTCAATATTAGATTTTTTAGGTGTTGAGATTTTAAATTGAACTTGAGTCAAGAATTTAATAGATTGCAAATTTGAGAGTTTAATCCGGGTTACAAGATTCACTTGGGTTTACTTGATTTTTTTCTTTTTAAGTTGTGTTTCATATTTCATTCTCTAATAATTTTTTTTTTACTATATTTCTATAGGATTTATCTTTCTTTTGAAAATAACAAAGGCTGCCTTGTTTTTTTTTCTTTGTTAAATTCTTTAAAATAAATTTTATTTTTTAATTAAATTAAATTTATTAATTTTATCCTCTAACATTTAATTTGAGGCAATACTTGAAGAAATTTTATTTTTTAATTTTTTTAAATTTGAATTTTTTTTTATTTTTTTATCTTTTTTTCTATAGAATTATCCAAATATAACATTTTAAGTTATGGATTTAGCAGATTTATTAATTTTGACTCAAGTTTTTTAATTAGTTTTAGTCTTTTTTTGTCTCTCAAGTCATAAAACAAAATCTTCTAGTTTCGTTTTAAAAAAATTGTATTATTTTGATATCTTTCCTGCCATAAAAAAATAATAGGCCGAGAGGGGGAAATTGAAGGAGAAAAGAAAGTGAATTGCATTCGAGTGCAGTTTTATCTTTCATTATACGCACCGTTTTATCTAGTTTCGTTTCCACTTATTAGTTTTCCATGTGTGGCGTGATTGAGAGAGCTGGTTATGTATTTTATAACAGTTCCTTTATTCGAACATGGAACCGAATGAGAAGGATAATGAGAAGATGATTAGTGATTGATGATTTGATTGGATTCTAACACATTTTTGTATCTCAAACTGCTTTGTTCATTCCATTAATTCATGTAGACTGTTAGTATTGGCTCCATTGAGATCTCACTTGCTCCAAGGGGTGTCAGAGCCTCGAATCTTTGAACACTAAGCATGGCAAATTCACACAAGGTCTTGATATCTCAGAAGACTGAAGAATTCCCTTAACTCCATTAACAAATAGCAAACACAAAAATATGATCAAGTGATATAGTTACTGGAGGTATATAAGCAGAAACTAGGAAATGGTCAAGCTAACTATGAAGCCAGAGGAGGAGAATTGAAGGACCTTGTTAGTGGGCTCTCGTTTCATCAAGGTTTGATTTAGCAGAAGCTACCATTGTCTACTCCTCATGTTTGGCATTGTGTTTTAGAAATATTTTATTAAAAAAATATTTTTTTTTGTTTTAAATTAATATTTTTTATTTTTTTATATTATTTTAATATGCTAATATCTAAAATAATTTTTAAAAAATAAAAATATATATATATTATTTTAATGAAAAAATCCAGAAACCATATAACTTAATTTGTGCCATTGCCTTGAAAACTTACATTGGGCCATAGCCTTGCGTTAGAGCTACAAGCTTTATCACTTATTCTGCATACTTAGACCCTGTAGTATCATATGTGATGCACTTTTTATCTCATTTTAGAGTTGTGATTGTGTCATAAAAATGTGTTAAAAAATTAAAATTTTTTAAATTATTTTGATATATTAATATCAAAAATAATTTCTAATAAATTAAAAAACAATCACTACTCTATTCTTACATAAGTTCTCATTTGCCAAAACAATTGAGAGCAGCCTTGATTTTTTTAGAATATTTGTGAAATTGTTCAACTATTCTTCTTCACTGTTAACCTTATTAAATTTAAAAGATTGGAGCGAAAATGGGATTATGGAGGATGATTTGCTTCGTCCATCATTTCAAGGCCATGGCTGCTTCAGAAAAAAAACTCACCAACAGATTACCTCCTTTAAGTCCCACAACTCAGCCTCATAAAAAATTCGAGATATTCATGTATCTTCCCCTCCAAAATCCCCATGCCACATCAATGAGCAGAGCTTTTACTGATAATACTGAGACCTTATCTTTGTTACAGAGTCTGCACTGAATCTTCATCTACCATGTCTATTGAAGATCAAGCAAGCTCGCCAATTTTAGAAATGAAGCAGAAGGTAAGAAACTCTGGTGAGACAGATGATTGAAATATGTTGAAATCAGTAGCAGGCATCTAAGGGTTGAATGCCGTAGTTAGCGTATGCATCTTCCAAAGAGAAATTTTGGAACTCCTTATGCATAGAAAGCCAAAAAGCAAGCCTGTCTATCTGCTTAGAAAAACCCCTCAGCTTATGAAAATGATCCATAACCTTCAATTGAAACAATAAAAGCTTCGGAACTAGACGCAGTACTGAAGCACCGGCAACCAACATGACACCATGCATAGAAAAAGGGCTTATAGAAAAAGCAATGGAAAAGAAAGAAAGAAATTATTGAGGCAATTAAATTTAATATAAAAATAAATATAATTGAAAGCAGACAGATTTGAGAAATTCAACTTAATATATTGATATATGGGATGTGAGAATTCTTGTGCCACTCAGACCCACTGCCCTTGAAGCAATTTTGCTGAAGAAGCGGACACCTTTGAAGAGAAGAAAGGTTGGCCGACCAGTCTGGCAATGCTTCGTCAAATTCCTCTCCGTCAAAATAAAAGATCTTAATTTCACAAGGGAGGTGAGGTGTTGAAGTTGACGTGGTAGACTCTTTAGGTTCTTCCATCCAAATATCTTTAGTTTTTCAAGGGAACCACCCAAGTGGTGGATTGAATTCATTCCAGGAAATGCCTCCAGCTCCTCTGAGAAACTGCCAGTTTTCAATGCCTTCAGTTGGTTGAGAACGCAAAAGAAATCTTCCGGGATATGACTTAAATTCTGACAGAAGCTGATTTCTAACTGAATAAGAGAATGCAATCTTCTATTTAAACCATTAGGAACTGAGTTGAAGCAATTACAAAAGCTAATGACTAGTGACTGAAGACGATAAGGCCACAATTCTCCTCCATGTAAAGAGTCATCGTCATAAAAGAAGATAGGCTCCCTGCGGACCTCGACTTTCAAATCCTTCACATTTGCACGGGACAGAGGCCAGCTAACTCGAACAGTTGCTTTTCCACACCGATCAATGAATACACTTTTAAGAGAATGCAATTCTAGAGTAATAGACACCACGTTGTAGCACTTACAAATAGACAATACCTCCAGAGCTGTGCAGTTTTGAAGGCTTGGAATGGATGTCAGACAGGAACAACCCAATATGGTTAAATATTTAAGAGATGTCACAGAGGCATGGAATTCACCAGATATATGACTCAAAGCATCACAGCTTCTTAACTCCGGACACCAACTCATGTACAACTCTTCGAGACAAGGAAATGCTACCTGTACTCCACCAGCTACAGTCGCATGTATCATCCATTCCACTAGACTCCACATATTCACTAGAGACAATCCTTTTAATGCTGGAAATATTGGATCCGTACCGCTTCCACCTCTACTATAAAACTCCTTACCTATTTTCTCTACAACATCCATTCCTTCTATCTCAAGAATTTCAAGATGAGGAAGATTTCCTGCTTTGGGAAGTTTTTCAGAGCCTTTCAATTTCAGCACCACCAAATTATTGAGTATTGGCAGCCATCGTGGGAATTCATCACCCTGATAATTCACAATCTCTAAGCTTCGTATGTCTGGGTGAGGCTGGAGGCCTTCCAACACATCCTTGTAATTGATGCTGGAGCTGCTGCTTTTTCTTTCTGAACTCCATACCAATACCAATGTGTTAATCTTTGTTTTTCCAAACAGGCTTGCACCCTTAGCTTCTTCTTTGTCTCTGACATGCTCCAGATTGACTATTCTCAACTCCCCTCCTAGTTCCTTCAAGCATCCCAGCTCTTTAATATTGTGGCCCTTATCTTGACCCACTTCAAAGAATGGCAGTGTTCTAAGACCAGTTAAGCATCCAACAGCAGCTGGCGTATGACTAAAGTCAATATGTCTCAAGCTCACCAAATACTCCATTTTGTTGGGAAGCTTTTCGAGTAACCAACATCTACGGAATCTTAAGGTCTGCAAATGATAGAGCTTCGTGATGGATTTCGGGAATGCTTTGATATTTGTTTGTGAAACATCCAGATACCTCAAATGTTTCAGCCTGCAAATTGAATCTGGCAGCTCTGTCATATAAGCAACATTCAAGGTCAGACTTCGCAAACCTCTAAATTCCCAAGACTTGCTGAAGAATCTTAAGAATAGTGTACGCAATTTTCTAGCACCATCCTTTAGAAATGCTGGTTCATCTCTGTCATAAGAAAGGAGATTTAGATGTCGGGCACGAAATGTACCGTCTATAGATGAACCAGCCTCCCAAATCACTGTCTCTGATTTTGTCACCAACTAAGCAAGATCATGCACAAGTTCGTGCATCTTGCAATAGATTACGTTTCCAAGCTCATCCGTTTGGAAATCTTGGAAAAACGAGGGTGCAAGCAAGTCATTAAGATTTCTAGCACCTATATCTTCCATCTCTCCGTGAGATGGCCCAAGGAACCCTTCAGCCATCCAAAGCTGAATCAATTTCTCCTTTCCAATCTCAAAATCTTTCGGGAAAATAGAGCAATAAACAAAACATCGTTGCAAAGATTTAGAAGACAAGTGATCAAAACTTAATTTCAACATTGGTAGAAATTTTTTAGTAAGATTAAACTTCTCAACAGCTTCATTGTTTTTTATGGACAGCCATTTTTCCTTCTTCTCAGAAAGCAACATCCCCCCTATAATAACTTTTTTGCAATATCGATTCCGACAGCCTCCAATTCTGAAGGAATCGACTCTCCTCCATTTCTAGACACTATTTTCCTAATAATTGACCATCATTCATCATTTGACACAGTTGTTTCAGTTCATGCCTAAACACAGGAGGATTCTCCATTATGGATGCTACTAATGGAAGACGAGTCGTCACAACAACAGCATTACCATGATTAATCCCAACAACTTTTAACAGACGATCCCTTGAACGCTCCCACTTCCCATGTTCTTCATTCCACACATCATCAAGTACGAGAAGAAATTTTTTATCCTGCAACTGTCTTTCAAGATTTGTCATTATTGTATTTATATTACTTATCCCACCAGTGTTTTTATCAATAGTTTGCAACATTTCTCCTAAAATCCTTTCATCATCAAAACTATCAGAAACACAGATCCAAAATATCACATCAAAAAGTTTTCTATCTTTTACTTCTTTGAGCACCATTTTGGCTAGGGTGGTCTTTCAGAGCCCGGCCATTCCCACTATAGGAATGACAGAAAGAACTTCTTGCCTGCAAGAGCTAACCAACAAGTTCATAATTTTAGAGACATCATCACCCCTTCCTATGACAACTTCTGAGCTGCCATGGAAAGAGTCTGTCTTTGGGTGCAGGCTAGGTTGAGGGGTTGTATATAGAACTCCAAGCCATACCCAATTGCATCTTTTCTAAGCTCGTCTAAGGAAACCTTGATGTTTTGAACTTTTAAGGCCACACACAGATGAAATGCTATTGGGTTTTCGAGATACAAGAAGCTGCGTACCTTCCCTTTCAGACTGTTCTGAATCTCTACCTTCCGTCTAAGAATCTTATAATCAAGCTCATCAGCACATTTTATTACAGTAACTCAGTAGCTTAAATTATTAAGTAAAATATTAATATATAATTTATATAATTTTTTAAATTTAAAACTTATATAAATTCACTCTCTAATTATTGAGTTTAGGAGTCAACATGACCCAGCATAGATTTCGTGTTGGTCCAAGCCTTCGTAAGTTAAGTTCGGGCTGCGCTTCCAAGATCTCGTGATGCTAGGGTCATATAATTACTCATGCAAAGAACCATCTGGTCTTTAATTAATGAATTTCATGCATTTAGTGTGTAGGTAAATGTTTTTCATCAATTTAATCATCAAGAATTGACCCAAGGTGCGGTCTGGTGGCAAATGGGACATTTGGCCCACTTTTTGTGAAGAATTCAAACTTACCAAACTCTGTATGTGTGTTGTTTGGCAAGAGTTTTGATTAAATTTGATTACCGGACAAAATTAACTTCGAGTTCTATCAGCCAAATTTAACATTGATTAAGGAATATGCATGTAATAAAATGGGTTAAAAGGTTAGATTTCACCCCAAATTCAAAGATTCAATCTTCGTTCTTAAACTTTAGGATTCTATGGAACTTGAAATCCAAAACTTTTTTTTAGATTAATGTAGGTGTCCGGACCAGTTTACGCGCATCACGATTAATATCACGGACCCTGAAGTTAACGACCATGTAAATCTCCAGTGGTCATTATATGAATAACCAAGGACTTAAATCTAAGAACACAAAAAAACCAAACCCTTTAATCACAAGTTATTATCGCATCACTTGATACCTTAGGATGATGCTTTTGTTCTGCTGCTCAAATGACGTCGTAATTTAAGTATATGGAATCCAATTACGGGAAGCATGATAAAATGTCTTTGGCAAACCAGGATTTGACAAAATACAAAAGTGATCTTAGTTTTACACTAGTTAATCGACTGGTCTTATGTTTATTTTTGGTTAAAGTTTTTTAAAATGAAAAAAAAAAATCATGCATTTTTTAGTAGGAAAAAACTTTAATAATGTAGAGGTTAATCCAATTAGATTAATAGGTTAATAGATTCAAAAGCAATCTAGATAAATGATAAAAAAATAATTCCATTAAAAAAATTTAAAACTATAGTTTTTTTAAAAATATCAAGATGAAAATATATTTAACCAACTAAGATTACTCGAGTTAAACTGACAAATTTGTAGCTATAGTTATAAAATTATAATAACTTCATGGAAAAAATCAAAACTTATAAAGTATAATTCTCAATTAATCCAATGTTAAAAAATTAATTAGAAAAAAAATCTAAAAAAACTACTTAAGTTAATCTGTTAAACTCATGACTCGAGTCATGAAATCCGGATAACCCTATAAAAAGAAAATCAAAACAAATTATAAGATCTAATTCTTAATCAACCTTGTGTTAAAATGATGAAGTTGGAAAAAATTAATTAAAAAAGACGCAAAAAAACAACCTACATCAACCTGAATTAACATGTTAAATTTATAACATGAGTCATGAAACCATGATAACTTCATATAAAATAAACAAAAAAAAAACAACCTGAGTAACATGCCAAAACTGTAACGCGAGTTATGAAAGCAGGATAAACTCATAGAAAGTAAACTAAGAAAATTAGTTAACTCAGGTTAATAAACAAATCAATAATTTAGGTCATGAAGTTAAAATAATTCTACATAAAATAAATTATGAAGTACAACTTTCAATCAATTCAGTGTTAAAAAAATAAAATTAAAAACTAGAAAAATAACTTAGGTATATACTTGAGTTAACCCAATAAAATTATCACTTAAGTCATGAGATTAAAATAATTTCAAAAAAAATAAATCATAAAATGTAATTTTTAATTAATAAAATATTAAAAAACTAAATCAATAAAAAAAATAACAGGAATTAAAAGGATAAAGTTAATAAAAAAAATTTAAAATCATCAATCCAATTATTCATGGTGACATGTAAAAAATTAAACACTAAATAAAGCTACAATAAAACCACGACACCTTTTAGATTCTTTTAAAAATAACAACTATCATAACCTAGTTCGTCAAATACTTGGCTATATGTTTTGTACAGAAGCATAGCTGCTGAACCCACGAAATTAAGAGATGCTTTCTCTATCACTCTCCCTCAATTTTATTTATTTAATTCTACTTTATTATATTTCAATTAATCTGAGTCAATTTAATTTAATTTAATGATTTGTATATTAACTGGATAATCCAATAATCTAGGTTTAAATTCTCGAATTGGATAAAAACAACTATGTTTTCAACTAAAAAATTGTCTTATCTCCACTTTATCGTCAAGATCAAAGAAAAAAAAGAAAACAAAAATTTGTCGAATCTCCACTTTATTGTCGGAACCTTGCAAAAGCTCATACCAAGATTCTCTTCATGCATAGAAACAAAATTCTCTCAAGACTTAAACAAAAAAGAGAGAGATAAAAGCATATTTGATGTCGTGTCCTAATAATTCGTAAAAAAAGTCATGAATTGGTTGTGGAAACTTCCAGAATAACCCAGGGAAATCAATGTTTTTACAGCAAACAAATTCTGATAATTAATGAGAAATGTTCTTCATATACATTCTTCTAATTATTGGGAATTAAAAATATAAATTAACATGAAGCAGCTAGCATGGAATGGTGACCGGGGGAGGTTCAAGAAGTTTTGAGAAGAAAACAGAGACATCACAGAATATAACTGCCGCACAAGCCGGATCAACTTGTGAATTAACGAATCAATCTGGTTTTGTTTTTGAAATGATGTCCTTTTATTTTTTAAATGAAATAATATGAATTTAGACATTAATGTTGAGAAAATTAAATGATAAAATTTTAGATAAAATTAAAAAAAAAAACATTGAAGCATGATTAGTTCGCTTGGATTTTGATGGTCAACTAAATTTTTATTTAGACCAAACTTTCAGATAGAATTTAATATAATTTAGAACTTGAATCATTATGTTGTTAAGTTAATCTACTATAAATTATTGAGTGATTTGAACAACTTATTTTATCTTAAACAATGATATTTTAATTTTTTATATAAAAGAACTTATTAAAATTACTTAATTAGATTTTATATAAATTTATCTGTGTCATTTAAATCATTGATAAACATACTAAATAAATATTTGAAATAATTTGAAAATATAAATGGTAATCTTTATATTTTTTTATCCGGGTATCTCTATATCCTTTTAAAAGATAAAATTAATTTTGTTTGGGGTTTGTAATTATTCTTTCTAATAAGTATATTTTTTTAAAAATCAAACTTGTATTTTTATTTTTATAGGAATATAATATTATCTTAACTGCTAGATATATCTTTAATTAGTAAATCATAATCTTCTTCGATAACTATGATCCTTCCAAATACATATAAGTTCATTTAATAAAATTATATTCACTCCAATAACTATAATTTATTTTATTATTTTATAATAAATAAATAAAATTCTATACTTGAAGTGTAGTACAAAAGACAACGTAACTTTCATGTTCAAATTATGTTTTGTTTATAGTCTTGTTCCACTTTGCAGATTGCGTTTTTGCATGGAACCACTGCCCCTTTCCCTTTTACCTTTTACCTTACCTCACCCCCACCAGATTCTCCATCTCCCTCTCCCTCTCTGAAGTGTACTGTACAATCTCTCTCTCTCTGTCTGAAACAAAAATTCTTTATTATTTCTCACTGTATCTGTACAGCATTATTTAAAGAAGAAATGTTGATTCTGTTTCTCATCTGAGTCTGCTCTGAATTCCACGCTCTCCCTCTATCAATCATACTATGTTTTACTAGCGGTGGCTTCTTCTGATTGGATTACATTGCTTCATCTTTTTTCTCTGGTAACCCACTAACTACCTTAATTTCATTTCTTTCCTTTTTGGTTTGATTAACTTCTAATTGATTTGGCATGAATATTGAGTTTTGATTGATTGTTTGGTGTTTTTAATTGGTTAAGATTGATGGTTTTTTTTTTCTTTGTGGTCTTGTGAATTTTGCTTTAATTGGTTTGGCATGAAAGCATTGTGCTTTTTTAAAAAAAGAAGAAGAAGAAGAAGATTTCTAGTTCTGCTGAGTTTTGTTTGGCTGGAATTTGATATTTTTCGATGCATGATTGATTCAGTCTAATGGGTTTTCTTTCTTTGGAGAGGTGGTGGTTTCTTCCTCTCCATGTCTCTCCTGATGTTTTCCTTTTTGGTTAGTTGATAAATTAAGCAGAGATAGCGATTGTAAAGTACGCAAAAAGGTCCTTTTTTGGTTACAGCTGAGTTTTGATTACCTGTGTATTTGTAGTTTGATGTTTGTTGTGTTGATACAATAATTAGTGTTTTTGGCTTTAGAGCTGGGACACATGAATATTCATAGAGATTCCCACTCTTCTTTTGGGTTTTCTTCTTTTTAGGCATAAGTTTTGAATTTAACAGTTTTTGAGTTCTTAGTTTCTGTAGCTTTTTGTTTCAAATT